TCCTATTCTCTCTTGTTTCCTTTCAAGTGAAGACATTCCCCAGTCTGTGACCTTGCTTTGTTACAGCTGACACTCACCTCTTATCACAGTCTGTCCCCATATTCACTGTGCTCTCCCTATCTCACAAAAGGGAGACGTCACTTGTTCAGAAGCCCGTTCCTTTCCTCTCCTTTCATTTTCTCTGGCTGCTTCTCCTTCGTCTTTCCATTAAGCCAACAAAAGGCAAGTGCCGCTCTGCTCCAAAAGACTTCCATTTTTTTCTATCCCCTTCCTCCAAAGCTGCACCTTTTTTCCTCCCTACCTTGTTATGTCTGCTCTCCTCTTTCATCCTTTTTCTCATCCCTTCTTCATCTTTCCATTAAGCTAACAATAGGATGACGGTTTTACATTCATGTCTTTCTTTGGAGGTCACACCAATAGAATCAGAAGTCGTTTATTCAGCATTGTGTGGATGTTCGTAAGAGTCGGCTTCTTTCAGAGAGCTAGGAACTCCACAAGACTTCTTGTACGTCAGGTTTTGGGGAAAAAAAACTTTTCGGGCTCAGATTTAGTGACAACTGTTTAAATAACCAACCCCTGCCCATTCAAGTTTATTTTACATCATAAAAGCAACCCATTTTTACTAAGAATAATGGGAGTTGAACTGGTCATTCAGTCTCTGGTCGCTACATTATTTCACATTTCAATCAAAATTTTGGATTGAAAACACTTTTGGAACTAAATACAACTGAAGCTTTGCCAGTTTCTGCTAAATATGCCTTAAAGGGCACAAAGTGATGTAAACTACCTGAAGAAAGTGGATGTGCTGAGTGACCTTTTAGAGCTAAAACAATATGCCCTTCACTGAGCAGATGAAGTCAAGGGCTCGTGGGAGAAGTACTTAACCCCTTGTAACCCAAATCCATTCAGTCACAACCAGTTTCAGTCAACACAGAAAATTTTAAATGCGTCTATGATGGAAAGCTATAGTTTGGTTTCTGGTCATAACTATTTTTTTTCTTAAAAAACAATGAAATAAAGGAACAAAAATATATTACAAAAAAGGCTTAGTTTCATGAAAAAACATTTTTCTGATGTAAGAATCAGTGAGCCACATGACGTGATGTACCATGGGACTTTTGTTGAATACTAATTGAATGAAGTAGACCAATCTAAAGCCATGTTAGAAATTAAGAAGGAACTAAATTGTTATCTTGTTTTAGGTTTGGATAACTGATGGATATGTTTATGGAAAATAAATGGAAAAAACCTGAAAAGTTAGTTTTTGTCTTATCAGTTTGTGTGTTGTATACCAAGTCTGTGCTAGGATCCAACCTAGCAGTGGGTGGGGCTTCAGCAGCAGGGGCAGTTGGTGTGGCAGCAGGTGGAGCAGAGGGCGTAGCCTCCTGTAGTCAGCAGTAAAAGCATAGGAAGGAAGCAGATCAGTGGCAGCCACAGAGCCAGAGTGGCAATAGCTTTGAGGATGAGCACAAACAGCGACATGCAGGCCATAGTGTCGCAGAAGAAAGGTCATGGAGCTCATTACGATGAGCACAGACAGCAAAATGTGCAATTCAGCAGCTTCCCTGTGCACTTCAGAAAATAAGTCATTTACAAAAAAAACACAAAAAACAAAAAAACTGTGTTTTTTTTACATCACCAATTGAAAATACACTTGTTGATGCATTAGTGATGTTGGGATTCGGTACTATGGTAACTAGGTTTTTCTTGCTGTTGCATGACTATACAGATCATTTACTACTTGAGATGTTATTGCAGATAAGTGAGAGATAAAGAAGCCAAAACGTGTTCTCTGACAAATTATTTAATTTGAGATTATGTTTAGATTCTGAAAATAAAAATTTCGGCCAGTGTGTGGAGCTCAGCTCAGGTTGAGATTATCATCTCAAGATCCTAGAAAGAAACATTTTTTTTCTTTAAAACAGTATTTGTTTAGATGACATCAAGGTATTAAAAAAAGACTCAGCTCAAAGCTGTTAGCACAAAAGCAAGGAAATACACATCTGAAAAGAAGAAAATCCACCTGGACTAATCTGATACACTGAAGTTAAATTCTACTGTCAAGTATTTTTCCCAATAACTGTCATTCAATCTGTGTATTATACAAAGTATGACTATAAAAAACATGAATTCTAAAGACAATTTACATCAGTAACTACTATTTAATTTTAAATGGAGAATCAGTGCTATGGCTCTTCCCTGCATGCTGGCTATATCATAAAGCAGACAAAGCTTATAGCCCATAAAACAAAAAACCACAGAGTTATTGCTGAGATGGCTGTGTGCTGCAAGATAAATCTCCCTTGAGAGGTGTATTTAACAGCTAAGTATGTAACTGATAACCTATGACTAAGACATATATTAAGTATGAGAAATGCGGATCTATCCCAGCAAGTATGAAATGAATAACTCAGTCCTTGCCAGCTTCTTAGCATAGTGGCTAAATGTTAGTTCAGAGTGTTTGGCTTCTATGTGCTCATAAAGCATAAATGGCATGCACAGTTAGCCTAGCATAGTGCCATGGCACTGCACTGTATGACAAGCTGCCAGAGGTGGAGTTTAGTGACTCAAGGCTAAAGGGACTATAAAGAAGAGTTAATGGGCTGTACAAGTGCTGTGTGATAAATTGCTAAGCTAGCACAGCAGGCCCATGGCTGCATTTCACAGAGAAATAGGGACTTGTTTGTGCAAGTTATCTTATCTTATATAGATAATGTGTTAGAGCATTTGTGCCCTTACTGAAATGTGCATGTATAATATCTTTTAAACATAAATATATTCACTTCCAGATGCTTATTTTATGAAGAGCTCACATTACATGTCCCACAAGAAAATTAATGACCTTAATCATACAGCACTTCTGGAACCTCTGGTCTAATTTCCATTTTTATTAATCACTATATTGATCTAATATTGTGCTGTATTGTAAAATGACAAAGGAAAAAAAAAATCAATTTATGTTTTGTAGTTTATGTGGATGAGAGTTCATTTAAGCCACTTACAGCATCTGGGCCAGGTGGTGACGTGACAGTAGCTGGGAGACGACCAACTGGCTTCTTAAGATCCTCCTCCTCCTCTGGTAGGAGAGGTGGAGGTGGTGGTGGGGCAAGGTTGGGGCACTGGCCGATTTCAGCATTTTCAAAGGTAATGGGCTGGGAGAAATCTGACAAACTAAGAGATGAATAGGCAGTAAGATTATGATTTCACCAAATCCACAAAAAGAAGAATGATAAAGTGACCCAATACTGACTCATAAGACTGCATTTGTGAAGAATATATGACCAACTACTGAAGTAAAATAACTCCACAAAATGTGGGCTATTATTAAAACTCATATTACAAGTGGATCATAATATGCTACTATAAGTGAACAATTTATTCATGAAAGGTGCTTTAAGAGCAACTCCAGGAAAAACATCAGCAGTAGTTTGAGTTA